CTATACGACAGCTGTTTTGGTAGAACTAAGGATTTCCATATACGAGTTTATACTATTGTATCGCTTTTTCCTATGGTATTTTCTGGGCATCGAAAAAAATCGCTTATATTTTCTTTGGATTCGAAGCAAATCTCATCCGAAGTCATACGTTATCTTAGTGTCAGTTCTTCGAAAAGACCAGGTTCTTTAAAACCATCGTACTCCTGGTGAATAAATTTATCCTTTGTGTCTAATCCATACACTGGGCCAACAGCATTGGGATGAATCTGTCAAGGTGGTTCGTCTTAGTGGATCCACAACGAGGTTGCCCTCAAGTAGATAACTATTGTCAACGTTGCACTTTGAGCAAACAAATTCAGTCTAAGTAAATTTTCAGTTATCAATACAAGTTAAGAATTGGATACCGTACATAGCCATAAATAGAACGAAACTGCAATATGGTTATACTTGGTATTTCTAACATCCTTTTATTACCAATTAGTCTATGTCATAACTATAGATCTTACGAACCTGTCATGTATTGGCCAAAGTTACTGTAAAAGCTGTTAACCTCTGGGGTTCATTTTTTATAAGTTTTACCAAAAGAGCAGGAGTCTTGAAAGGAATTATGACTTCCTGTTATTTGTGATGTATTTATTTTCATGGTTTCGCGATTTCTTACAAAAAAAATTAACGAAAAGCAACAATATTTTACATCAGCAGCGAGCATGACACGATAGACACAATTACGTGAATTCGTCATATTTCACACAACTCTTCATTCACATTTCATTTAATAAGAAGTTTTAATTACATGTTTTGATATCATATGTGTCAGCGGTACTCTGTTCCGGTTTTTTTTTCAATACAATGAAACCAAACACAAGAAAGGACATTTTCCTTATAGTCGTGTTTTAAATTTTAATTTAATTTGTATTACTTAACGTCCTTCCAATCAACACCTGTGTTAATAAACAAAACATCTTATTTATTAAATCTCCTACACGTATTTCATTGGTTAAATTGGCCTTTTTTCGCTTTTCTGACTAGTCTAAAAATTGAAAAAGACGATACAAAGCATCAAGAAAAACACTACATATGAAATCTAAGAAACATCAATCTTTTGCCAATTACTTTTCGAGAAACATCGATGATAAAAATCGATTGTTGAAAAACAAGATCGTCACAGGTTACCTTTTTAATTGTTTGTCTAAATCGATCTAGGAATTGATCTTAAATTATAGGTGACCAAGGAAACCGCATGTATGAAGACTGAAAAATCATATAGGACTTTTAGGATAACTCAAGGCATCGTGATAACAGCTGTATATTGTCAACGCCTTTCTGTATTTTCAACTTTCTTAAATCGAAAGTGTATCACTTAATTGAAACCAACTTCGGCAGACCATTCTAAACTCATCCCCTAAATAGTGCTAACAAACTTTGTATGGCATAGTCAAAAAGAAAAGAAAATAGGATAATGTACATACGGAATACATGGTCATTGTCTTAAAGTATCAGTTGTATTTTGGCGACTGTGGAGAAAGACAAAAGAGGCGAGCCTCTAGCAGGTTACTTTTTTTCTGTCAGTCCAGAGCAGAAAGTAATTCTGTCGAATTACCGCACGTGCTAAAATACAGTTGTTTTCCGTCACTGCCGAATATAACAAAAAGATATGTGGCGGATATATTCCGACAATGGCACTGCCAGTTGCAGGATAAATAAAGTTATTGTTAAAATTTACAATTGCCGTCTTTAGCCTTTTGGGTTTTTCTGAACAGTCTAAATACTGAAATGGAATGATACATAATTACATAATTTGAGAAACATCTATCAGTGCGCCATCAGAAAAAGTGATAATAATTAAATGTTAACTGTCAAAATTTAAAATGTTAACCTAAACCATTTTTTCTGATCAGTCTAAATAATGCAAGGTGCTTCAGAGGGTCCTCGGCAAACATATATGAAATCAGAGCAAAAGATCCATCGGTGTTTCTTAATGGTTTATAATCAAATTTGAAGATGACTACCTTTCAGCAAGTTTGTTGTTCAAAAGACTGAAAGGGTGTCACTAGGGGCTAAATAGGGGACAGTTGCATATGATATTGTCTTCAGAAATATATCAATAACATTTTAATACCTGTCAGAATATCCATCAGTGCGTCTTTAGTAGTTATATTTGTTAACAATAAAGTATGGAAATGGACGCCTATCAGCCATTTTGCATCTCTAATATTCTTATTATTATTACAATCTTAATGCCCGTCAACACATAAAAGGTCATTAGAGCCATAAAATCTAATTATTATGTAAATGTATAAATCGTAACTCCACTTGTGAGCAAGTTGAATTGTACATATGTACAGATAGATATAACTCTTTACAAATCAAATTTGATATTGTGTCTAATCTCGTTGCTTTCGAAAGCAATTGCACTGCTATAAATTTTTTCCAGATTTTGTAATTTTCATTTATCTAATAATTTTAAAAGACTTATGACAGCACTTAATAACTACAGCATAATAACTCCAGTATTTATACAAATTCTGAACACTAAATTTCTCAGCTTTCACAGTGTGCATATACGTCTCTGATTGGATATATTGTGTTATGGTCGCTATATTGCTCTAACTTAGATATACATATTTGTGTATGAAGTTGTAATATCCAAGCTCACTGAATCAGTCTTAATGATAGGTCATAGGAGAAAAGGGCGTGACCAAAATGACGTATTTGTCTAAATAAACGTAAAACATAGCCTACATAGCAATCAAACGTGACGTCATTGTTTTTTGTTTTATAAACAAAGTAACTCTTCTGTAAATGGAGGTGTTGAAATTTGTTATTGAAGTAACCTGCTTGTTCATTGGTTACTAAACTGAAAGACTGATAATTTTTGACCAATCAAATTAGTTTTTACAAAACACATAGTATTTGACAGGTGTTTGGGAAAGAAGAAGGAAGACGTCTCGAAATATATAGGTGCTATTCTACGTATAAAATGAAGTACAATTCACACATTTAGTTATAAGGTAAATATAAGCTTATATTTGTTTTAAATCTCCACCGCAATACGCCTGCGGGTTGCGTAAGATTTCATATGTTTGTGTCAAAATGTGCCGATAGTCGGTTCGCTCACGGTTTCGTATGATTGATATGATTACAAGTTGTGTCGTTAGCCTTAGGCCTTTCGTACCATTGGAGACACTATCAGCTCTACGACTAGGTTCATTTATCTTTGCTTATGGTCCATTGAATTACAGATGCTAAATCACCTGTTATTCTAGACATACACATCGTAAGGTCACATTTGTGCGAGTTACAGACTCTTTAAACAGGGCTTTGAGAGCACACGACAGAGGAGGATATTATTACTCTTAAATCACTCCAAGACGTCAAATTTGCCTAGAAAATAGGAAAGTATCCCAAACTTATATACATACTCAACATTGGGACGGTCTTATATTCTCAATCCAATTTTCAGGATTTTAAGGCAAGTCCAGAACATGTGCACTTGATAACTTGATTGGCAATAAATGTGCATGTATACTTGTTTGAAATATTAAACACACACACTAGCATTCAGTCTAACTTCATTCCGTAATCTTCTGCATATTCTGCATGCACTTATGATGTCTCTATCAGTCCTTATCATGACAGATTTAGTGCATATTATCTCATTTGGTATAACGTTACATTATCATGCCAGTTTGATAAAATATTGGTCAGTAGACTATATGTTGTAGTGTCTGGAGATTTGCCTGTATGAAGCTTTTTTATTTGAAACCAAATGCTTATCTGGAAAGAAATTCAGATTTAAGCCAAAAAGTTTTATAGATAGTTTGCTTACAAAAGGTTTGCCACAAGTCAAAAATATGGGTTGTTATATCTCATTCACCTGTTTACAGTGATAATGACAGATATTGACTGTACATCTAGTCTTAATTTATTAATCAGGGTCAAAATTATATGGCAGTCACAACTATAATCATGATGATGTCCCTTCACATTTATGTCAGTCTTTTCATTGAGAAGTTCTTTGAAAAGCAGCAATAACATTAATTGTAAAAAGATCAAGCACATTTTACTGACTTTTAGTTGCTTCTGTGTTAAAACATTAAATTTGTTATTAATTGTATGTGTGGTATACATTTCTATTTAAGTTTCATTGCTATCCCAGCTTGACCACTTTTTAGTTTGGGAAACCCCAGTCAAATTTAGTGTTGATAATGTTACTGAATGGTTTTGAAAATAAGACTATTCATTTTGAAAACACAGATGCATGATGGAGGGCAGAAATGACAGCGACATTAGTGACACATTATGTATAATCCTCGTTTCCAACACCAGATGTTGTCAAAATAAGTGACATTAATCAACAACATTGTCTCAACCAATTCAGACGGGAAGTCTTTTTTCCAGGCAGCAGTGTTTTGTGCATGTGCATTTTCATATATGATTATATATATATATCCAGACTTATTCAATAGATAAGGATTTCCTTTTTATAATTATTAATTAACCTCGTCATTTGTATATTTCAGTAAGAAATACTGTCATTGTTCATAAGTTGATATACACTTAATAGATTAATGTAATGATCAGAAAAAATCAGTTTAAAAAAAGGTTTTACCATGATAATGTTTTTTTTTATGATAAATACTGTAGATACCAGAAAGACATGAAACACCATTTTTTATCATTGACACTTAATCACTAAATGGCATTTTCCACTTTGAAACCTTAGAAATAACATCAAACTGTCCTGTATGGTCTTAAAAGAGTCCACAGCAAACCTGATCATCACTAGATGGTATTTATGCCTGATAATTATCTGCAGTACATGTAAAGTAAACACTTTTATAATTTATAAACAATGCTTTTGATCATGACATTTATCAAATGCAGGAGTCAAATGACCTTGTAACACATTTACATTCTTTTCAGATGTTCCGGCTTTATTGGAAAATAATGGATTGAATGATTTTTTAAGAACACTAGTTGTGGGAACAAGATACAAGATGGCAACAGAGCCTGATGAAGTAACAGTCATAGGTAGGTGATCAATACAGAGAAACTGCATTTATTTAGGTAGTTGTTTATGCAAATGGTAGAATGTTAATTTTTTTCTGTTTTGGATGTTCGTGTTGTTTCGATAAATTAGGCAGATGAAAAACATGCTTACAAATTCACAAAAATATAAAATTTATATTAATGATACAGGTTATAAATGTGTAAATACAAATAACTTGTTGATAAATTGTTAAGTTTATACCTGTAAATAATGTTTGTAAACAGGAAAGCAATGTTTACTGCAAAGAGAGAAAAAAAAATCCTTAGTAAATAGTTAACACTCATTGGCCTGACACTTTGTGAGTTTGTAAATTGGCAGCAACGTGTTATGTTTGATTTTTTTAAAACCAATGTCATAGAGACACCAAAGAGATATCTGCTATTAAATCCATGCAAATAATAAAAATATAAATAAAATTAATAAAATGCTGAATAGACTTGTTAACAAAGCTGTGTTTAAGATGAATTAATAACACATTGGAATAGGTGATAAATAATTAAAAAAAATATGGATTTTTTTCTGGTTTTAGTTTGTAAGTAAAGTATCAATGCTTGTTTTGTCTGAATGTACAGTGAAACATGCTGCACAACAAAGCTTCAGTACTAAATGAAAGTTTCTTGAAAAGGTTATTTGTTATTTTACATTTTTTAATAACATATTACATTGTATATTCATTGTAAATCTAATGTATGTAGATTGCAAGTGTCATTGTATGTGCAGAACAGTATATACGGAACCCTTAAATAATAGCATAGCTACAGACATTCTTCCTACTGAACTATTATAGTAAGAATGTAATAAATAACAGAGTTCCACTTTAGTGTCTATATATGTTGTTACAAAGGTGACTGGGTTGATGTTACGGACATTAAAGTTATTTACCATGTAATAAAGATCTAAAGAAAATGTAATAATCTGATACAGTAATATCCATTTATATACATGTCTATATACAAGTATCACAGTCATGTGAGGGCTGGATTGATAGTGCACATTTAATATATTACTATGGTGCTTGTTATATCTCCGCCATTATATGTAGAGAATGAGAGGGTCATATAATAGTATTGTGATCTACTCCTGTCTCTCCTGTCTTGTCTTGAATCAATATTCATACTGGGTATTACACAAACATTTTTCTTTTTTTGAGGGATTCATGAATAAAACCTAATTTTAAGGATACTTCAGATGGGTGTTAAGGTTCCAATATAGCCATTACTACAATGCATTATAGAAATTGGTCAGCGGTTTATACAAGCTAAAGAATATTCTTCTGCTTTATAATTAAATTAACATTATCTGAGATTGATTATAGGACATCCAACACATCTCATGGATGTATTTAGGTTTTCAAAAAATCTATCCCTTTATCAGATTACCTTGTGTTTGGATTTTTATGAGGACGGTTCAACTCACAATTGGACTTTGCATATACTTCTGATGTAGACAAAATGCTTTGCATTACAAAGAGTTAATGCCCTTTTCGTTATAAAATTGTCTTGAAATTTTTGTTTTCTTGGCTTCCATATTTTGTCTAGGGGTAATGAGCTGAAATGACTTTATAATATCATGCTTCAGATCAAGTTTATGTCTTAGTTGTGGCAATACTCAATTAAGCATGCCATATTTAATTTTGGTACAATGCATTGTATAGAATGACATGTTTAAAATCAAAGGGTGTCAGACAGTCTCAGATAGGTGCTAATAAAATAATATATATTTGTTTAAGCACAGCAGTTTGTTAAAACACAATCTGTTTTCAGGTCAGTTTGAAAGCATTTCAGTTGGTATTTTGGTTAGGTAATATTCGTGTGTTGATAGTAATGTTTTAGCATGTCATGCATGAGTTACTGTAACCACAGATGCTTATCAGCAACAGGTACCATCAAGTTCAAGCTTATAATGAAATTCATACAGATTATACAAAACAAAAACAATATATCAAAAACAAATGCAGTATGATACAGCATTAATTTTAATAAATTTGTCTTACTAACTAACTAGTTGATATAGACAATCACAATTCTTGTATGTGTATAGAGTAAACTGTACAGGCCTGTAACATAATGTTTATGGGGCACATATAGTTTAGCTATTTACATGTATTGAAAATATAAATTTTACTGTGTACTGAAGTGCACCTTAGTCCTGTCACAAATTTTATACACTTCTATGCAGTGGCGTTATGTGTACAATGTATATGATATCCTGCATGAGCTGATATCGAGTTGCGACAAACCAGTACATACAGGAATTTCCTGTATAATAATTTGTAAATATTTCGAATATTATGAACATGTATGACTATATATATATATCCTTACTTACTAGATATGTTCACTAATGCAACAAGATATGTATGTTAATGCTGCAGGATGTAAGATAAGATACTACAGTCTGACATGAAGTACAGATAGTAAATCTGACTGAATAGACTAGATATGATGTAAATGTTCCTGGAGGCCTGTTTGATTACATGATAGTTGAGGGAGGAAATACTTTTCCTGATTTGTTTTAATCAGAAGTCTTCTTTTTTTTAAAACTTTATCAGATTCATACAAGGACAACTATCCCTTGTCATCTATGAAAAAAATTAATTTCCATTTGTCTTCTATAGAAAAAGTGAAAAAAAAATCTAAGGGCATTTTATATTCAAAGTTAATTGGGATCAGTCACCAGCTGATACAGTAGTACTCATGTGATGTTATCTGTTATATGTAAAATGTTAGTTCATTTGGTTAGATGTGATTGAAATAAGTAGTGTACCTGTGCATGTTTACTGTAAAGGAATGTACTTTTTCATAACTAATGGTTCTATTTTGTATTTCAGTTGTCAGTGCTAAAGGGTTACAGGGCAAAAAACCAGGTTTGTAGAGAAAATGAGATAAACTTTTTTTTAATCAATAAAAAAATATTTATGTCACTGATATCATCTTAACATTATAAAAATGTTTTTGTTTTCCAAATGCCAATGCAAAATGACAGTCATCAACAGCATCATCATCAAGATGCCTAATGTCTATTCTTTAATAAGTCTTCTCGCTATTTCTTGGATATATATATAGATGGATATTTCTTAAATTCAATATGCAAATGTAAGTTCCCTAGTTCATGGGTCTCTAGTTGTCCAGTTTTGACTTATCACTAAAATAGAATCACTGACATCATAGTGATTTAGAATTTTTTGACAAATTATGACTCCCGATTGAGAAGTACTAGATGGATATTTCTAAAATTTGATTTGTACATATAAGTTCAAATTGATTTCTAGTAGATGGTGCATTGTCTGTTTTGTGACTGATCACACAAACAAAAATTGCAGACACACTGCTTCCTTTGTTATAGTTGGGGGGGGGGGGGAATCCTGGATAGTTATACACGTAAGTTGGTTTCTGGAGAAGCACATCATGACGACTCTAAAGCTTTGTATATCGGTTCCTTTTGTTTCCATGTTCAAAACAAAATGGCTGGCACTTGGCCATCTTGGAATTTGACAATTATAGATTGTTTGAGTTCTTTAGAAGCACTGGATGGATGAACTGTCAGTGTCCTCATACAGCCTTGGCTGTTATGAAAATGCTAAATGTGGTGAAAAAAAAACCACAAATCACAAAGTGATAAAAGAAGAAAAAAGAAATTGGAAAATGGTAATCTTGATAATTCATTTTAAGAGGAAGCTTTGATGACTGAATAGTTAAGACATCTCACTCTCTTTATCACTAGCCCTAAGCCTCAGGGTTGTTGATTTGAGGTCTACCCAGGGCAAGTCCCAGGTACTCTAAATACTCAGGCTTTCCTCCATCTCCCACATCTGATATGTCCTTGAATGACCCTTGTAATAGGATGTAAAACAACTCTAAAAAATTCATCTTATGTTATGATTTTTAGATTGAAAGTTATTTTTGTGCAAAATAAAAATATCAAAGTAATTCTCAAATGTTAAAATGAAAATGTACTTCTATACATGAATGTTTCATTTATCAATGTGTAAGTCTTTATGGTGTATTTTCTTTGTTGATACAGGAAGACACAAGTTCTCAGTGATCTTTGGTGTAGGTAATAAGAAATATCGAACTGCTGTTGTCAAGCAGCCAGAGCCAGAATGGAACGAGGAGTCTGTTATGTAAGTCAGTCCTATATATATATTTAAAAAAAAACCATGAAATTTAATGTTCACTTCTTTGGCACCAGATGTATCACATTATTTGTCTTAGAATTCTTTAGCAATGTCATAAAGATCAATAATAATCTCTCTGCCAAAAATTTGAGATGTAATCTTAGATTTCTTTTTTGATTTGACCATGAATATCAGCTATTGCAAGGTGATTATATTAACATTAACAAACCAGATTATATATAAGTTTGTGAAAAGAAATGACCTTGACCCATATTCAAAGTCACAGAGGTCAAATTTGTTAAAACCTTCAAACAGCTTCTTACAATACACAAAACACCTAGAATCAGGGTATTTTACTGATGATTTCCTTAGATGAAGCCCAACAAAGTATCACTATGAAATTATCGTGACCAATATTCAATGTGATAGGAGTCACTTTGTGACGTTAAGGCCTAGAATCATAAAGCAAGCCCACTAGACCTAGGTCATGAAAGTAAGAACACTGGTATGATTTACACAAACTTCAATACGTATCAATGAAAGTTATCATTTTATTTTCTATTTCAGTCATGTAAACAACATTCTAGACCAGGTGTTCTTCATTGTGACGGAGAAGGAAGATATACTTGGTCAGGTGAACATCCCAGTTACCTCCCTTCAGGGATCACCAGGACGCAATATGAAGTCAACACTTCAGCCTCACAAAAAATGTTCCAATCCAAAAGGAGAACTTGTGTATCAATGTTACGTCTCCCAGAGGCGTCCTGCAGGAATGAACCAGGAGTCCAAATCTCCAACTTTATCACATAAGTACAGGAAGGACAGACGTGGCTCCACTTTATCTAGTCTAAACAAGAAGTTTTCACGCTCTATTCATGACCTTTTAAGCTTTGGCAAAGCTAACAATAATGAGGAGGATAGTGGCTCGAAACTTAAGTCCAAACATGGGCCAAAGTTCATGAGTATCAGCTCGGGGCTAGACAGCTCCGGAAAGCTGCCTGTGATATTAAGTGTAAGCCCCAATGTGGGTCTGACAAGTGGAGGTACACGTATTACAATTATTGGTAAGAACTTGGGCTACAGTAAGAGTGATATTGTGGACCTGACGATTTGTGAATGTGACTGTGTAGACTACATCGAATACGAGTCTGCCTCCAAAATCCATTGTAAAACAAAGTCAACTCTCCCAGGCAAGGGTGACATCATCCTGGAAACAGAGTCAGGTGGCATAGGTACTCTCCGTAATGCATTTGCTTTTGTTGATAAACTCCCTGAAAACGGCGTGAACCCATTTGATAGCCCTAACCCATTTGATGATGATGCAGATTCTGACGAACATGCGAGTTTCACTATTGGAGATTCTCCAGAAATGCAAACAAAAGCAATATCTGTAAGTACTTGTTCTGCTATTAAAGCTAGATTTAATTGAAAGATGTTTGTCGTCCTTGAATGTAATTGTTCTTTGGAGACGAAAAAAAATAAAATCCATTGAAAATTAAAAGCAAAAAATATGGGCAAAAATACCTATTCCTCATAAAATATCTACGTGATCCTAAGACTCCAAAATTAATCTCTTCCATCCATAGTTCGATTTCTGGTATATTACTAAATTTGTTATCAATTTTATTATATTGGGACACAGCCGTACAATAACCTAGAAGCCTAGGATTAGTAAAGAGAATTTGTACTGCATAGTTTGCTTTCAAAATTTTAGGGTTTGTTTATAGTAGTTTCTGATATTTTTTTCAGATACCAGTGCCATCACAAAAAGGAGGCAGTGTGTCCAGTATTTCACCACCGACCAAGAAACACTTCATGAAACACCTGAGGAGAGCTAGTGAAGGACACGTTCTACAACAGATGAAAGCAGGACCGAGTAAGTGATGGAGTTTAGTTTAGACCAATATTACCTTTTCAGTTCATTAGTCCACCTGTCTGCCCATTTTTCCTTTCACATTTGAAAGGTTTTACCATTTCCATAAAATTTCTTTCAAATCTTGCACATTTCTGTGTTGCCTACTACTTATTATCCCATTCATGTTTAATTTTCATCAAATCAAAGTATATGTTTTACAGGAATATATATATATATATATCTTTTTGTTTTTTAGTGGTTGCTACTCCTCCAGTATCACCTACACCCAATAAGATTGAACAATTGCAGCACCAAGTCCAGGAACTTAAAAAAGAAAATCAAGGTATATTTATCACTTTCCATGGAACTGATTCAGCATATTTACATTAAGTGCGCTTTTCACTATCATCTTATGGTAATAACATAGGTTCTAGTCTGTGGTCTAACATGGTAAAACCTGTCCAATTGTCCTTTGTTCATCTGTCCTTAAAGAAAAATCCCTCCCCAGGACCTAAGGTTTTGTTAATGGGTACCAGCCATGAAATTTAATTGATTATCTGCTTTGATGTATTTAGCAGAAAATTGGACCATGGTTAAATGTGATTTATTTTTTTAGTAATCTATGGACCAATCAGAAATTTTGAATATAGGATGTTTAATTTATGTATAAATTTTTTTTTTAATTCAAAAAAAAAAAAAAAAAGGATGTTTAATTTTGAAACTGTTTTGATATCACAAATTAATTTTTTTAATGTTTTTACCTCATGATTTATTCAAATTTTAATACAACAAGTAATTAAAAGGAAAATAAAATCTTATAATTCATTCAATCATTTGAGATGAATGTTTAATGACTAGATACAGAAGAATATCTTTAGATAAGCTTCAAGAATTGTGTTCTTTCGTCCATTTGGTGCCAGCTTTAAATTAATTCTGCAAAGGTTCACTGGAGTTTTTAATAAACAAATTATAATAATAAAAATACAGAAATATAATTGGGCTGGAATGCTTATTTCACTGTAAAGGAGCAATGATGAAATTATGTAAATGAAATGATATTGATTTTTTTCAGCCTTGAAACAGGATAACAAAGACATGAAAGCATATATAGACAAGCTGGTGGCAAAGGTGATACAGCATTGCCCTGATGCCCTCGAATCAGACCAAATGCAAAACAGGTGGAGATAACTCTGCTTAGAATGTTGAAAGACTCTAAGTTAACATTAAACAAGAAAATATGTAAATTGGCTGTTCATTTAGACAATGGTATGTTTCTTTTCCAATGTCTTTCTTTTTTGTAATGATTCAAGTGGGAAATGTACACATTTTGTCATCATCCTTTGAAAACTAAGACCACCTGTAAACTGATATTAATGACGTTTGATGCCATGTACTGGTTTTGCGGGAAACCAGGGTTTTAGAAAAAGCAATTTTTACAGTGGGATTTGTGTTTGTAATCTTAAACATGGGCTGAACCCCTTTTTTGCCTAAATGAATGTATAATGTTTTAATAGACTGTTATTTTCTTTGAAAAATCAAAAGTCAAGATTACATTTGTATAACAGCCTCAGTTTCAGGTGTGCTTCTAAATGTGCAGAGACACCGTCTTACTTTGTTTTCTATAGGAAATCAGAGATCATGAAATTGTTTCTCTTGGACAATACCTCCTTGTTAAAAAAACAAAAACAAAACTGATAAAAATATAGTTCAGACAATTCAAGTTTCTTATATACTGCTTATCACAGTAACACAGCTATCTCAAAGCAGTTCAGAACAGCAACACAGCTATCTCAAAGCAGTTCAGTACAGCAACACAGCTGTCTCAAAGCAGTTCAGTACAGCAACACAGCTGTCTCAAAGCAGTTCAGTACAGCAACAGAGCTATCTCAAAGCAGTTCAGAACAGCAACACAGCTATCTCAAAGCAGTTCAGTACAGCAACACAGCTGTCTCAAAGCAGTTCAGTACAGTAACACAGCTGTCTCAAAGCAGTTCAGAAATTATCATTATGCATGGTTATCTAACCTTTTCAATGACACAAGACCTTTGTGCCTCTATTACTTTAAACTGATCAATTCATGTTTCTAAAGTTGTAGCACTGATGTGTGGTGTTACCAGAACATTTTATATTCTGATAGATGTACTTAACTATGCAAACACATAATGATGGTTGTAGCAACACTTCTGGATTAAATACACTATAATTTGCATACACATGAATTTTATTTAAAAAAATGAGTTTTTTTCTACATTATTATTCTCATTATCAGATCTGAAAAAACTTTCACAATTTTAGATTTGGTTTTTGTGTATAAAATATGAGTGCATGATTGTTGATTTAACTGTTACCCACTAGCAATATTTCTACTATTTTCATAGAGTAAAAACACCAGCTGTGATAAGGCTTTTGATTTAAAAGAAAAAAAAAATTTTTGGTGCTCAAAAAAAATAGATTAACTGCATTAAAACGTTTTCATCTTTAGATGTGTAAATGATTTTGAATTTTTTTTTTTTTTTTTCAATTTTTCTTACTAAATCAGATTCAGCTAATGAAGAAAGTATGTTGGTGATATAGCTGAGCTGTATATGATGTAGATGTTTTGTTCAGAGCTGTAACATAAGCAATGATTTCAAATATGTAGATTAGCTAAACAAAGTTAATTTAAAATGATATACTCAAGAGCATCCCTTAATTATATGCATAATATAATTAATTTTCTTTTTTTCTTTTTTTTTTTTTTTTCATTTCATTGTTATTTTTTGGTAACATGCCAAACTTTGAAAATAAAATCTGTTTATTATACTTTTATTTGCCCCTAAATTTTCTTGAGGGCACAATGAAATCACCATTTCCAGGAAATTGATAGGTCAAATTTACCTGCTACATTTCATTATCATTGCCACAGGTATAGTAAGGTATCAAAGATATCAGAAATTATTTCGGACTTGGACATTTACGCTGCTATAAAAAAAGCATTTGAAATTTAAACTGTCTGTGATGACTGTATGATATTGTTAAACATGACTTTAGTGTGTAGATAAGTAGTAATGTTTGTGATAAAACCAAATTATTTCATAAGCAGATGAAAGAAAATGGTTTACTTAGAATGTTTTTTGTTTCAGTGCATGTATTAAGTAATGAAATATGTTATAAAAAAAATATCTAAATGTATTGATTATGTTTGGTCCTTTGTTTTCTTTATACAAGATATATGTATAATGATATTTTGTTTTTTTGTAATCAGTTTTTGTGTTATTAAGAGTTAAAAACACATCGATCATCAGATGAATGTTATTTACAATTTATCTTTGTTAAATATTTTTTATCATGAATGAATGTGGAATTCTACAATCATGGAACTTTGATTACAATGGCATTACAAATCTGAAGAATTTACTCTCACTGTACAATATTACCTGACAATTGTTATTCTATTCAAGAGAACATGATTTGTAACAGTCGAGATTTATCTAGACATCAGTAATTGTCCAGTTTATAAAGGTTCTAGTACATCTGTTCCATTGATAATTCTAAAATTGGAAACATTGATAAAAGTATTGAATGTTTATATCTGAAATACAGATTAATTAATAATTTATGACTGGACTTCTTTTGCACTGGTATTAGATTTAGAATACACATAGCACAGATTGCAAGTTATAAAACCCTATAATAAGATTATGTATGTAAATGGTGTTTTTCTCACTTTTTTTCATATGTTAATTTTTAAATGGTTATCATTTAATTGTTATTTGATAAGAATTGTTATTAAAGTGACTGGTACATATTTTCATCTTACACATATCCACTAGACTATTAATTGGTGCTTTAATTTAAATTTTGTCAATAATGCTTATTTATCAAAGGAAATACATAAAAAAAAACCAATATATTCAGCTTTATATGATATAAAATTGCCATGCGACTCCCAAGCTTTACCTGGTTATTATCGTGGGTTTTGTTTCAGTAAAGGATCTCACTTGAAGAAAGCATATCAAAATGATTTGTAATAAATACCGGTATTTATTTTCCTATCAATCAGAATTGTTTGTAATTAACTGTTTTCATCAAGATCCAGTAGTAAATCCTTATTTGGAGGCATGGTTTTCCCAGAATCTTTACTCCCTATACATGAGTATCACTTACTTGTAGATCTGAATTTAATTATTTTTTTTATGACAAGAAAGATTTTTCACTATAAAGTTATTAGGGCATGTTACAACTGGAATCTTTTCCTGTGTCCTATAGCATTTCCAGATTTTATACAAGGATTTAGTAGATAAACATTCCTTCTACATTTCAATTTAAAATCATATTTTTGTGGGGACCATTTTTCAAGATTTGTCCAAAAAATGCCTGTTTCATGGACACTTATTTCCATGGATAAAGATATAGCTCATTGAATTTGCTTATACTATTTTGTGTATTAAAATCAACAAAAATGAAACTACACTCAAATCAATGATTTTATTTTATCCAAAATCAAGAAACTATTAAAGAAATTTATTGAAATGTGAAAATCTATTTCGCTTTTGTACTCCTACAAATGAGATATTAACAATATTATTGAAACTACCGTTTACCTTAAGGGTTGAAATTCACAAATATGTTTACCATTTCATTGTATAGATTTTTCATTTTGAATTCTTATGAAAGTAATTACTGTTTTGATGAGCACTGGTTTTAATAATGACTTTGTTTTGGGTTTGGATGTTGTTTAAATTTTTTGGCAGTGTTGCGTTTGGAATTTAACATAAAGTTTAAGTGGATTGAGTGATCAGATTTTTAATCAGATGGAGAACATCACCTGTTAATTATGAATAATCTTGTGGATTTTTTACCTGTTGATTGCTGTACTATGGTAATACACCTATTAGCAGCATTTGTTAAATGTGTCCTGGTCACACTTGTTTATTCTTCTGTTGTATAGATATTGGTTTTTGTTGGGTTTGTTGAAGCAGAATCTCCTTGCAGAAGCGGGTGGCTATCTCACTGAACACCATACAGAAAGCATGTTGCATACCCTTCAAAGTAATTAGAGCAAAAACTTTTGCCCAAGGACACACCAACAACTAAACAGGCTGTTATTTTTTTATCACCTGCCTGAGAAACAATGACCATGGTTAGGGAGCATCAGAACTTCACTTGAAGTTGCTTAGCCCAATGCTCTGCTGACTAAGTTATCACTGTAACTTCCTTAACAGTGTCTTTATGGCAGCCTTCTTACAGATTAGGAAATGGTGACCAGTATATGATTTGTTACACAACGTACGTGTATGTAAGCATGGATTACTTTATTAAGTGATGCCTTAATATGATTTATAAATTATTAAACATATGGAGTTATATATAGTGAAATCATCTGCAAAAATGAATTTCTACACTGATTATATCAATGCACTAATTGTTTCTGCCTTAAATTTCTGATTATGGATGGGTAAAACTTGCATATGTATAGTTTATTGTCCATCATGTTACGTTTGACACATTTCAGTTGATGACATAAAATACCTCTTTGAAACTGGAAGTTCAAAAAATCTCCTAAGAAAGAGGTGATAAGAAGCTACAATGACGTGTACATCACAGTTTGTATCTTATAATGATTAAAATAGATTTAGATTTAACAATCTGTGATATTTGGTACTCATGATATTTTCAAATATCTGACACAATTTGATAATATTATATGCAGTATGTGTAATTTATTTGACATGTATAGATCTGTACAAAAATGTCTTCATGAAAGATATGATAAAATTTGAAGTGTGGTTGGTAAAAAGGAATCATTGTATATTTTGTAATAATCTCTACATATGTTACTGTTATTGTTTATGATTGTCCAAGGCTGCGTTTTCATTATGCTCTAGATGGCACAAACCTATTTCATTATCAATGAGTATGCCAGTAATGTACCTGATGTGAGAAAAGATCCTTTGTGCATTTTTAGAGTTTGTTAAGAAGTATACCCTGATACACTGAAACCCCTAATATTTTAAACTATCTTAATATCATGTATTTCTCAAATTAAAAATGTGTATACAGGAATCCTGAGAAATTATGCAAATGTTGAATGTACCTATTAATCTTGACCAACCATGGTTCCAATCTGTGTCTACCTCTCATTTTTCAGTTTTGACCCTTTCTGTCAGTAATGTAAAAGCAGACATAGTGTTATTTTTAGGTAAGAA